CACAGCATGGCTTGACAAGCAGTGTGTCGGTGTGCACCCAGGATCCGAACCAGCGCACACTGGGCCGCCGCAGCAGAGCGTGCACACTTAACCGCTTGTGCCAATGGGCCGGCCCCTCAAAATATTTTTTTTGAGGAGGCAGTATTATGTTTTCTAGAACCTTCTGAAATAGTTTAGTAATGATTTTAAAACACGATGTCCTATCAAGTGTTTTTCAGGCCTCAAATACTTTTATAACTGCTTACTTCTGTAATGTTTTCTTAAGAGGATTATGATCTGTGACATGGTCTTCAAATTTTTTTCTCCTCTAAGAAGTCAAATAAAGGACTTTAACTACTGTGCTGTCCTTTTTTCAGTAATATCTTGCAGATACCCATTATTTTTAGCAGTCAATCATGCAGAAAATAACACCTCAGATATCAATAAATTCAAGCTATTCTAACCTATATAAAGCAATGAATCTGATATATTTTCTTCAACTCTAACTCACTTAGAAATCAATTCCTTGGTCAGCAATCTATGGGTCATTACCTGAAAGCATAGGGCAAATGAAAGAAAACCTTTTAGTACCAAAATGTTTTTCCTCCCAGTATTTGAGTTAGCTGGTAATTTCAAAAATCTAGGTCTCCTATCGAAACAAATGATACTTTAACCACTACTGGGAGAGTATAATTTAATTCTGTTTATACTGTAAGCTATAACACAAAGATTGTATAAAGCCACTAATTGTTTGCCTTGATGTGTACTTAAATAGCTTTTAAACAGGGGGACTATTCTGGAGAAAAAGGAATCTATTACTGAATAATAATCATATTTCATGCTACTTACACTACCTATTACTTTTGCTTTGTGGAGTAACTGTATGTTCAAATAACTGGGTGATACAGAACTGAATGACATCTTCATTGAATCTACTTGGATGAGGAGAGAAAAGAAATACTTTACACGGTTCAGGCAATGTTACACAGTCAAGGAACTATACCCTGGAGTAAGTGTGAGAGGAGGGATATGAACATGTTTTTCTCCCAGCTTAGTCCCTTCATACTTCTCACTGTGTGATTACATCCCTGTGCTGAGTGGAATTCTAGTGTTTAAAAAATGTTTTGGGGCCGGCTCCGTGGCGTAGCGGTTAAGTGCGTGTGCTCCGCTGCTGGCGGCCCAGGTTAGGATCCCAGCTCACGCTGACGTACCGCTTGTCAGGCCATGCTGTGGTGGCATCCCACATAAAGTAGAGGAAGATCGGCATGGATGTTAGCTCAGGGCCAGTCTTCCTCAGCAAAAACAGGAGGATTTGGCATGGATGTTAGCTCAAGGCTGATCTTCCTCACCAAAAAAAAATGTTTTGTTTTGTTTTGTTCATATAACATGGCAGACTATTTCATCTGATGCTCAACTGAGGAAATGGAGTTCTGGGTTCCAACACTGGAAATAAAACTGGCTATGCTAGACTTAGCCAGCCTGATGGTCTAGTGGTTAAGATTCAGTGCTCTCACCCCTGCAGCCCAGGGTTCATTTCCCAGTCAGGGAACCACACCACCCATTTGTCAGTTGTTGTACTGTGGCGGCTGCATGTTGCTGTGATGCTGAAAGCTAGGCCACCGGTATTTCAAACACCAGCAGGGTCGCCCATGGTGGACAGGTTTCAGCAGAGCTTCCAGACTAAGACAGACCAGGAAGAAGGACCTGGCCACACACTTCTGAAAAAATTGGCCATGAAAAGCAGTGGAGCACTGTCTGACATAGCGCCAGAAGGTGAGAGGAAGGTGCAAAAAGACTGGGCAGGGTTCCACTCTGCTACACACAGTGTTGCCAGGAGTCAGAATCAACTTGATGCCACTAACAACAATAATGCTGGACTTAATGACAGAAGATCTGTTATATCTTTCTAAGGGATTTTCAAGAGTAATTCTGATCATCCCAGATCTTTGCCTTTTGTGCTGACTTAGAACCTAATCTCCACATGAGAAAGAGTCTACTGTTATTTATATCTGCATTCTTATCAACTGCAACAGAAAACAACACAAATGATTAACTTAACTTTTTTCATGTAACCTGTTCTCTAAGTTCTTTGTCTCACTGAGGTATAGTCTTACCTCTATATCCGAGGGTTTCTGCATCCTTGGATTTAAACCCGCAGATACAGAGAGCCTACTGTATTCATTGTACTACGCCATTTTATAAAGGATTTGAGCATCTGCAGATTTTGGTATCCGCAGGAGTTCCTGGAACCAATCCCCTGCGGATACCAAGGGGTGACGGTACGTATCTGCAAATGCCTTCACCTGTCCAGCAACAATTCCTAATGTACTTTATGAACACTATTTTATAAACTCAAACTTGTAAAGGGTTTTTATGTACGGGAAAATTTCCCACTTACTACATTACAGCAGCACCACACTACGCACATGCAAAAACAAAGCCTGTTGAAGTAGTAATCCTATTTTCCATTCATTAAATTTTTCCTCCAGCATCTTTTCTGTACACTAGTCATAGTTGCCACTGTTTTATTTCATAATTGTGTTTAGGATGATTCTTTTCTACAGAGATACACTTTACCTAGGGATATTCATTATTTCCCAAAGAGATACGCTTTCCTCTGTTCTTGAAATATGAGGACCTCTTGGTCTTTACCGATCTTTGATACAGACATGGGAACAGAAATATTTCTCTGCTATGAGAAAAACAGAGCAAATACATAGCAGCCTCTTTGCTCTTCCCTAAACAAGCCAGACACGTTCCAACCTCAGGTCCTTTCCTCTTGCTGTCGCTCTGCTTGGAATTCTCTTCCTCTAGATTCCTGCATGGCAAGCTCTGTCACTTCCTTTAGGTCTTTACTCAGAATTCACCTTCTCAGTAAGGCCCTGATTTAAAATATCAATCCTACTCCGCATGCACACCAATCATATTCCCTTTCTCTCCGTCACTGTTTTCTCCTTAGCAATTAATAGGTAACATATCTTGATAGCACATAAGCTCCACGAAGGCAGGGCTTTTGTCTGTTTTGTTCACTCCTGTATTCTCAGCATCTAGATTAATACCTGGCACACAGTAGGCACTCAAAAAAATATCTGTTGAATGAGGAAGTGCATTAATGAATGGAGGCCAACACTCAGTCTCTCTTCTAAATAAGAGCAACTGCTTGTTGTATTGCTGGACGTGGGCCAGATTTACTAATTTTTCAAAAGAAGACAAAAGTCTGAAATTTTAATGTAAAATTTCTCAATTTGTAAATGTTGGCTCAGATTCTTTAAAAAAAACCACGGACCTAAAAAAACCACATTTATATTGCGCTGTGGGTTGCCAATCAGTGTGTAATACACCCTTTTAAATCAGCCGTCTCCAATCCCATCAATCCTGTCGGTCATTCATTAAAAATAATTCATGTGTTATTGTTTACTTATATGACAGGGCCTCTATCATCACTGAGCTAGTTACTTTCTTTGGAGGAGAAGCCAATGGCTATGTAAAACTTAAATATATATAGGTAAAGAAAATATGATCAGGCAAGATTACATTTGCCATGATCTTAGTTTTTGCATTTATTTCTCTTCTAATTTCCATAATATTTATCACTTTTGTGTGTAGAATTGTATGTATAGGGGTGAAGAGTGACCTCAAGATTATTTAAGAAAGTACATAAAAATGACTAAATTTTTGTGATTTGTTCCTTTTAATCAATTCACTGATATTAAAAGCTGGTAAAACAGACTTACATTGAATTTTAAAATTAAGAGGTATTAGCTGTCCAAGAACACAGCATTTTCTCATTTATCATCCTGCTCGAACTAAGCATTATTGTTCTCATTAGACAGAAATTTTGGTGGCAGTTTTTCCCAGATTTGACTTATCATATTACAGCTACCACAGCTTTCCCCCAGCTCTCACGTGGCACGAGTGCTGGTCTTCGCATCCGTCTCAGCCATTTGTTCTCCCTATTCCTAACGGGCACTTGAGACCAGAAGCACTTGATGGAGGGTTTGGATTTAAACTGCCCATTCCTGACACTCTGTGAGGCTCATGCCTCACTCATCCTATCACATGTGGTATTTGTTTTGCACTTGTGTTCTTTTCTCCTGTTATTATTTTTTCTAATAGATTTTTTCCCCTCCTCCTGCCCTTTAGGTCTGTCAAAAGAAAAAGAAAGAAGAGGTGGGGGCAAAGGTGAAAGGCAGGTCTCCCCAAACTCATGAACTAGTTTTGTGCCTTCTGTTCACGAATCACCATGATGAACAAACTAAATGGTGAAAGGAAGTCCTTGCTCTCCCACTAACTCGCTCTGTGACCTCAGATACTTCACTGCCTTTCTCTTGGCTGTAGTTCTTCATTTGTAAAATAGCATGATGAATCAGGGTATCTTTCTAATAGTAATACATTACAATTCTAAGAAATTCAAGATTTTTTTCCCACTTTCGATAGATTTAAAGCTAGCTGGGCACATAGGCATAAAGACATGAAAACATTAACAAGTCAGAATAATAAAACTTCAACTGTCACCTGTAAGGGATTGAATCTGAGTTTTCTACATAGTACGAAGTTTAAACCTTTAAGGGTTGAAACCATGCCAAATAGCTTTAAGGAAGATTTGAATAAAAATATATAAATTGGTTTTCTTAAAAGAGGTATATGCAATTAGTCATTCACTAAATATACTGAGCATAATGTAACTTCTTGACAAGACAGGATCAACATGAATAGCAATCATTACTGGTAACAGAGACAACATGGTTGGTGTGGCAAGCACAGGATTAAAATGAACCTAATCTTTGCTATGGTGTTGGGACTTATTTTTAAAAAGTATCTTGAAAATAAAGTGTGTGTGTGTGTGTGTGTACGTAAATGACACTGGTGTGCGTGCGTGTGTGTGTGTGTGTGTGTGTATATATATATAAAATACATAACTATATAATGACCTAACAACAAATATTCGGTGGGGCGAAGGGGGCTGTTTCCCTTTCTTTCTTTAACTCAACAGCAGCATGCAGTGCTGCATGACACCTGGCTACCTGACTACCAAGGCTGAAGCTGTCTCATACCAAGTGGTTTTCTAAGCCTCCTACAAATTATGTTCATTATTAACTTGCCACAGTATTTGAAAACCCCATTTCTGATTTCTCGAACACAAATAAAGAACCTTAGGCACCTTCTCATCAGTTTATACTAATTCTTCAAAAAAAGTGTCATGGAAAATATGTGGGCTTTGACATCAGGCCTGGGTATTAATGCCAGATATTCCATTTGCTAAATGTGACACTTTAGATAGGCAAGTTGCTTAATCATTTGGTGACCCTCTTCATCTATACAAAGGGATAAAAACATCTGTCTTATGTGGTGGCTGTGACTCACAATGAGACAGTGCATAAAAACTATCTACTAATTGGGAAAATCTGTTAATATTCCTCCATTTCCCCAAAACATTTGCTTATGGAAAGGAAGAGAATTTTTCACTATTTAAAAAACCTTTCCAGTATTTCAAGGCCTAGTGTTTTTTATTATCAGATAATGATGACAATTATGCAAATATGACATAAACCCACAATCATCTTCAAAGCTCTCCTTAATATCTGACTTGAAACAAAACTTCAGGCACAAGCAATAATAAAAATTGTATCTTGGGGCTGGCCCCATGGCTTAGCGGTTAAGTGCGTGTGCTCTGCTGCTGGTGGCCCGGGTTCGGATCCCGGGCGCGCACTGACGCACTGCTTCTCCGGTCATGCTGAGGCGGCATCCCACATACAGCAACTAGAAGGCTGTGCAA